GGTTCGACGTCTCCGCCGAGTCCGCAGACCCGCCAGTCAGACAGGCCCCGTGTGGCCCGCGTTGGGCGCTTAGGCAACTGGACCGGGAGCTTTTCCTGGAAGCCGCAGTCGTGCAGGCCTGGGTGATACCACCGGTCAGGCCAGCCGACATTAACGAGGAGGCGAGATGGCTCCAGGACGCCATGTCAAGGATGTGCGACGTGGCGATGCCCCGGATCCGACCGTGCCAACGCAAGCGCCAGGTGTATTGGTGGTCGCAGGAATTGGCAGACCTGCGCGGTGAGTGCACCGCAGCGCGACGCCGATACACCAGGCACCGCAGGCTCCGTCTCCGCCCTCTGGACGCTGAAACCAGAGAGGCGGAGCTATACGAGGAGTACAGGGCGGCGAAGGCCACCCTCAGGGTGGAGATCCGGCGGGCCAAAGATCGGGCCCGCGAGGAGATGTTGGAGACTCTGAACAGAGACCCGTGGGGACGCCCCTACCGGATGGTGCGTGATAAGCTCCGCACCTGGGCGCCCCCACTGACTCAGAGTCTCCGGCCGGAGGTCGTGGACGAAGTGGTTGGGGCGCTATTCCCCCGACCACAGATGGGTTACACGCCTGCGGCTATGCCCCCGCCCCCTGCGGTGCCCAATGCGGGCTACATCGACGACGACGACGAATCCGCTCCGGAAGTGACCGAGGTAGATTTGAGAGTGGCGGTGCGCCGGCTGAGCGGCAAGAATACCGCCCCAGGACCTGACGGGCTGCATGCCAAGGTCTGGGTCCTGGCCTCGGAGGCTCTCAGGCCTCGACTACTTGGTCTGTTCAGCGCATGTTTGGAGAGAGGCCAGTTTCCGCTGTCGTGGAAGATGGGTAAACTGGTCCTCGTGAAGAAGCCGGGGCGTCCTGCGGACTCTCCATCCGCGTACCGGCCCATTGTGCTGCTCGACGAGGTGGGAAAGCTGTTCGAGAGGATAATCTCAGACCGCCTCGTCGGGCACCTGTCTGGAAGGGGGCCGGATTTAGCGGACGGCCAGTTCGGCTTCCGCAGAGGGCGCTCCACGGTGGACGCCATCATGCGCGTGAGGGACCTCACGACGGGGACAGCGTTGGCCGGGAGGCGAGTCGTCGTGGCGGTGTCTCTGGACATCGCCAACGCCTTTAACTCGCTGCCCTGGAGCTGCATTTTGGAGGCACTCCGGTATCACCGGGTGCCTGCCTATCTCCGTCGTGTAGTCGAGGCTTACTTGACGGACAGATGCGTCATCTACCCCGGTCACCGGGGCGTGTGGAATCGGCGAGAGGTGTCGCGCGGTGTCCCACAGGGATCGGTCCTGGGACCTCTCCTGTGGAACATCGGGTACGATTGGGTGCTACGCACCGACCTCCCGAGCGGCGTCAGCATTGTCTGCTATGCTGACGACACGCTGGTGCTGGCGAACGGGAGGTCGCATCAGGCGGCGGCCGACCTGATGTCACAAGCGGTTGCGACAGTCGTTGCAAGGATCCGGCAGTTGGGACTCGAGGTGGCGCTCCACAAGTCCGAGGCCATGTGCTTCTATGGCCGTCGGAGCGCGCCACCTCCAGGTGGGTCCCAAGTAACGGCAGGAGGAGTTACCATCGGCGTCGAGTCGGCGATGAAGTACCTGGGTCTCGTCCTCGACAGCCGATGGAACTTCACGGAGCATTTTCGTCGTTTGGCCCCTAAGTTGGAACGGTCTGGGGCCGCGCTCAAGCGGCTCCTTCCCAACCTCGGGGGGCCAAACGCCTCCTGCCGGAGGTTGTATATGGGGATTGTGCGATCCATGGCCCTCTACGGTGCCCCTGTGTGGGCGCCGGACTTGAAGCGGCGGCCGGCTCGTACGCTGGTCGCGTCCCAGAGGGTCATGGCTATACGAGTAATCCGCGGGTATCGCACGATCTCCGGGGAGGCGGCGAACCTCCTTGCCGGATCACCGCCGTGGGATCTAGAAGCGAAGGCGCTCGCGCGCGTCTACAGTTTGCGCGCAGACGCGCGTCGCCGGGGCGAAGATCCTCTGCCGCGCCAAATAAGTGCGTGGCGGAATGAGCTCCGGCGAGATCTCATGGCAGAGTGGAGACAACGACTGTCGCAACCGAGGGCCGGGCACGCTACCATAGCAGCGGTAAGACCCCTCTTTGAGGAGTGGCTTGAGAGACGCCACGGCGTCCTCACCTTCCGTCTGACGCAGGTGCTTACCGGGCACGGCAGCTTCGGTAGGTTCCTGTTTCGGATTCAGCGGGAGGAAACGCCCGAGTGTCGTCATTGTGAGGACCACCTAGAGGATACGGTGGAGCATACGGTAGCGGTATGCCCTGCCTGGGCTGAGCACCGCCGTATCCTCAGGGAAGTGATCGGCGGCGGCGACCTCTCGCGCCCGGCCTTAGTCGAGGCCATGGTGCGGAGTGAGAGGAACTGGGACGCCGTCTCCTCCTTTTGTGAAGCGGTCATGCTCGCAAAGAGAGAGGCGGCCCGCGTGAGGGAGCAATCCTCCTCCTCACGCCCCAGCAGCCGCAACTGGCGACACTACGGGCGTCGGGGATCGAGGGACGATCTCCGGCCACCGTAAGTACGGGCCTGCGGTCGGCGAGTAAGGGCAGCTCGCCGCCCGACCAGAACCAGGCCCGAGCGTACGGCGCGTAGCGTTCCGCGCGCGCCTCAAAGAGCCAATAGACCACCACAGACGGGGCCCTAAAGGGCTGATGTTCAGCCGGGGCTGCGGGGTAAGCGCAATAAGGTACCGCGACCTCGGCACAGAGCAGGAGAAGGAACAGGGGGGTTTTTAGTCAGTAAGAGTCTGACACTCCCTCCTGCCCGGCCCTGGGCGGGAGAAGTCATTTGATGATTTTCCCCTCACAAAAAAAAAAAAAAAAAAAAAAAAAAAAAAAAAAAGCACACACATTTTCGCGTTTTTTTATATTTGTACAATATTGTATACACGATTCGGATTCGATTATTTATTATTGAAACTATGACTTATCGATATAAAACTAAAATCTTATTAAAGAGAAACTCTACCTTTAAAACGAAGTCAAAGCAACAAGTAAAACATTTCCCGATACGTAAGGTCCCAGGTTCAGTGTCCTTAAGCTACAATGGCACATAAATGGTTTATAACCGTAGTAAAAGCTAGTGATATCGGTATACGCGGAAGTATTATAACTACAAAAGGTTTTAAACGCAAAAATAAAAACAATTGAGAAATAGTTTTTTTTTAATACAGGGCTTTTATGGGAAGTGCGATGACCTTAAAGTTTTTTCTGATATTTGTTTTTGACAAAGTATAGCCTATTTTGGATTGATTCGGATTTGAGGATTGAGAATGGGTAGGGAAGAATTGGACCTCCGGTAACACTCACACGGCGAAACGCTGTGGTTGTTTCACGCCGGTATTCTGCTCCGGTCGAGTCGGTCCATTTGCGCCGAGGCTTGGCTCTCCCACAATTAATTAATATAATGTTAATTCTGTCGGGGAAAACCTGGTTGCTATCAATGGAAATCCTTTGAAGTAATTATAGTGGTTTAGTAATGGATGCGGTTCTCTGTCGGCCTATGGATTAAGATAAAGTATTTATCAGTGCCTTATCAAGCAGCTTTGTCTACGGGTAAAACATCGTAAAGTTGTAGTGTAGCAATAGTTTGCTAAACAATGTTTGAATTTTATACGTTCTAAAGGATCGTACTGCGTTTCGAAGGTTATTTCTTAGGATGCTATTTTGAATTTTCTATGATATGCCGTGTGTTTTGAGAAGTTTCTTGTCTTGTTAAGTTCTAATGTTGTACTATATCTTTAATTATAGAGTTTTAACGTGATAGCTATATTGCGTTTGATTGTAAGATATTTTATTTCACCTAACGTTGACGTTGACCATTCAGACTATTATGTATCTCTGTGCCTATTATCAAAGAAATCCATTCAGTAGTTTTGACGAGAAAGAGTAACAAATATCCGTGAATTGATCCATATTTAAAACTTTCGCGTTTTTCTATAAGTACAATTTTTATCTGCAAGAAAATTATAAGCACTTTCACGGATACCTCCATTGAGACGCCTCTATCAACATTTCTTGTTATATTTAAAGCACTTTGTCACATAATTTAAAGGCTTCTGTTCATTTTCACTGTTACTTTAAAGTGAGTAAGCCGTGAACCGGATCCAGCTGATAATTCTGTCACCAAAAGTATAGCGTTATCGGTTTTCACGCACCACTTAGTAAATGAGGGCTCCTTCCTCCTCCTTTCTTACATTACTTCTGTGAGTGGGTTTTTTAGCTTCATAACGAGTACTGTTGGTTTCACCAATGGTATTCTAAATATTTGTTGCATTTGTATTAATTTTCCTTTTGACAAAAATGTGTTCTATTTTCGAATTGTCTTACTACTTTCAATAATGTTAACGCTGAACTTCCTAAAATTGTATATCAATCACTGGCCTTGTCTATTTTTAAAACGTTTTTATTACTATTTCTGTCTCTGCAAATATGTACTTTATAGCGTGATATTTTAGCACAAATTAAACTTGAGCTGAACTTTGTATTTTTATCTTCTTTTGATGTAAAATGGTATTTTTTTTAATCCACTGAAGATTATTCAAGTTCTTTTCATAACCTGAAAAAGTTACAATGAACGAAGCTGTACGCTCATGTGTGTTGCATTACTAATACCCCAGCCATCGCCAACTAAGCCAACACGATGACTTATGTCCTCAACTGTACAACGTCTGACTCAACTGAGCCATAAAACTGGCTGATAACGATATCGTGTGTTTAAACAGACACACTCACATACTTGTGTGTGTACAATTGGTCTGGCAGTGGTACCGTAGTTTTTTGTTAAATACTATAAATTCAATTGAGAATTCGAATGTATGCTTGTTTCGTGTGTAGGTAGTGACAACTAAGATGATAAAGTTTCTGAAAATTCTGTTTCTGTAAAAACGTACTATCATGTAAAGTATAAAATGAAATAATTAACGTTTTTGTTTCTCTCTTTACAGAAGATCAGTAAGAAAAATGGCGTCAAAGAAGATGAGTCTAGTTGGTACTGGGATCCGCCGCCCCAAACGACGAAACTGTCCGATGATGAAACGGAAAAGCATTATCAATTACAAATACGAAACCTACAAGAAGAGCTTGCCACCCTGAGAGAACGAGAAAGTATTGACCGAGTTCTTCATCAAGACCAACCTGATGATGAACTCGTCCGATTGAGAGAAGAAAATCAAAACCTTACGTCCAATCTAGAAGATTTAGACAACCAACATCAACAGGCTATGGAAAGACTTTTAACTTTAAAAAGAGAGTTACAAGCCAATTTTGAAGATTTAAAACAAGAACACGAAGATCTAAAAAATGCCAATGAAGAATATCAGATGGAAAACAAGAGGTTACTTACGACAATCGGGGAAAGGGATATAGAATTAGAAAGTGCTAGGACAATCAAGGCTGATCATGATACTTTATTACATAAATATCAAAATCTAGAGAGGATACATGGTCTGCTGCGAGAAAATGCTGAAAAGTTTCAAGAAGAAAATCAAGAGTTACATGAAGAAGTCTTCAAATTGCAAGAACAGGTGACAAAGTTAGAACATGATTTAGAAGTAGTACAAAAACATGCAGACCATCTAGATATGGTCCCACGAGATACTTACGAACAGCTGCTGAGAGAGGTGAATGAATTAAAAGAAAGGAGAAATTCAAATCAAATTCATTTAGATGAAATTAATATCGATGATAATGCTAAAGGTGTTATCGAAACACTCAAACGTGATATTAGCGAGTTAAAACATAAATTAGCTCAAAAGGAAATCAGCTGTCCAGATAATGTAGATAATAAAGTAATCAAATCTGAGAAAATCATGCATCTGTACAATAAGTATGTTAACTTTGAACTTCCCATTGATTATGTCGGTGAAATACCTTCAGCAGGCGATAATATAGTTCTGTTCAAATTAGAAAGCGTTTTCAAAACCGTCAATTCTTTTAAAAAAGAAATCGATATCTTAGATCATCAGCTATCAGAAAAGAATTTGAATGCTGATCATCTGCAAACACAAATAGATGATCTGACCACAGAAAATGATTTCTTAACAACTGACATCCAGCATCTTGAGAGAGAGTTGAATGAGATGAAAAAGAACAATGATTTTCTCATATCTGAAATTGCCGCTTTAAAAAATACTTCCAAGTTACAACCAATAATAGAAACGCATGAAGATAACTTGGCGAAGTTGGAGACTGAATTAGCTGACTCCAACAACATGAACAAACTCTTTGAATCGGAGATCAAGAGGATTCTTAAAGAACTAGATGAGGTGAGGGCTGAAAAGACTTCCCTCCACGATGCTTTACGCGATCTTAAACAGAAATATACAACGATGTTGGATGAATTTGAAATGCTTAAAAACCAGACTAAAACCGTCACAGAATTAGAACAAAATGTCAATAACCAAGATTCTGAAAAACTTAAGAAAACAGTGGATGAGATAGATGACCTAAAGAAACGCTTAAATGCTGCGAACTCAAAGAATGAACAGCTTTCTATAGATATACATATTTTGGAAAATGACAAAGTGTTGTTAACTAAAAAGGTGGATGATCTTCAGAACGTGTTAGACGAGAAATCTCATGCACACAAAGAGTTAGAAACTTTAAAATCTACCTTGGACTGTAAACTGCATGACTTTGAAAATAAGTTGGATGAAGTCATTAGACATAAACAAGAAGTAGAGGTGGACAGACAAAAGCTACAAGAAAAAGTTATAGGATTACAAGATCAATTGACCACTGCTAGTACGGAAAGTAACGCAAAATTAGAAAATCTGATGACTGAGAAGACGTTATTGGGCGAGCAGCTGAAAAAGGCGTCTAAAGAAAACGAAACTCTTTCAGCATCCATTGAAAAATTAAAAACAGTTATAGCTGATCTGCGACGTCAGGAACAAGAGTTAGTAGATGAAAACCAAGATCTTAAGAAAAACATACAATTTGAAAAGAATTCTAAAGTTCTCGAAGAAACTATTGATGAGTTGAAATCTAAAACCGTTCATCAAGATATACTGACTAATGAAGTCGCTAGTCTGAAAGATGAAAACAAAAAACTGATTGAAAAGAAAATTCAGCTTGAAGCTGAATTGGTATCAACTGATAGTAAAATTGTACATTTAGAGGAGGAATTTGATAAACTAATTGTAGACCTCAATGAGAAAGATACTCTAATTGACGGTCTTAACAACACCATTCACCACAATAATATTACTCTTCAGAAATTAAATGAAACTGCAGCTGAAATGGAGAAAAGTATTTCAATAAAGAACGATGAAATACATAAACTTGCTCGTTCGGTAGAAGAGCTCACATTAAAACTTAATGAAACCATTGGAAAATCAGATCGAAGTCAAGAAGAATTGGACAGACTTCATGGTGAAAAGGAAGAACTCAGCAAACAGGTATACTCATTAAATGATGAAATAAATTCTAAGAACACCGAGATATCTTCATTATCCTTGCGCCTGGAGCAAGCAGAAACATTTTCTAATGACCTCAAAACCGTAATAAGTAATAAAGAAAAAGAAATTAAAGAGCTAAACCAGTCAATAGTAGAATTAACAGATAAAATTAAAACTAAAGAAAATGTAACTTCTTATAATGATGATTATGCAAAATTAGTTCAAGAGAAGAAAACAGTAGAGGCTGAGGTTGTTGAACTTAAAGAAGCAGTTGCAGCTAAAGAAAAAATGATTGAGGAGATTAAAGAAAGTCTCGCATCGACGGAGAAGCTATCAAATGAATACAAATCAATAATAGATACAGCTATGACTGAAAAAACAGAACTGATAAACTTAATTAATTTAAAGCATAATGAAAGTATACAGTATCACAATGAAATACAAAGATTGAACCATGTAATCTTGGAACAGACGAATGAATACAAGAAAGTGATTGAAGAGAAAGACAAGCAGCTCCAGAATACGACAGACCATTGTAAGAATTGTGAGAATTTAATGATAACACTAAAAGAAAAAGATGGAATTATAATATCTTTGAGTCAGAACGCGTCTGGTTTTGAGAAAGCCATGTCTGACTTGGTGGTTGCTAGTGAATCGGTGAAGACGTTATCAGAGAAATGCGAGAATCTAGAGAAAAGTTTATCAGTGCAGATGGAGATAGTTAAGAAATTGACAGCAGAAAATATACAGGTAAGAAATCTTATACGTTATAAATGGTCAGAGTGTCTTTCGTTGTGATAGGATACTTTGATATTGGTTCAATTGACACATTTTTGAGGATAGAGGTCCACAAATGTTGCAGTATTTGAACAATTTAATTGTCATCTTTAATTCAAATTCAAATTCTTTATTAACATTCTTTAAAATCAGTCCTTGTTTAATCACCAACTGTCTTATTCCACCAAGAAAATTAATTCTTCAAAGAAAGACCTGGTACCAAACTCTATACATTCTAGTATCCACTGTACTAAGATTTATTCATTCACTCTCCTCCCCAGTTGTCGGAACAAGAGCAAAACTTAGTGAAAGAGTTGGAACGACTGAGACGCCACCTGGTGGAAACGGAGGAGAACTACACCCAGGAGTTGATGTCTTCGGAGCAAAAGCTTACTGAGTGCCAGGCCAGGCTACACCAGGTCGAGGAGAGAGCCAAACAGACTAGCACTGTTTATACCAGTAACAGGTATGTTAAGCTTTATAGTGTAGATGTTTTTGTCTCTTTTGCACTGCTATAAAGTTAGGCGAGAAAGAGTGAGACTACATGATCTTAATTAGATCATTTAGGTGGAGCGGGTTTTGTACCGAATTGTCTTGTAGTAAAGTCGAAATTTCATTTTAGCATTTTTTCCTGAATTGCTTAAATAATGTATCAATATGTAGTAATTTTTATTTTATTTTTTATGTAGGTTTATTTTTTAAGTAAGGCCGCTTTGCCCATGAAATAAAATCTTGTGATATTTTACATTTTCCATAATAAACAACTATCATTATTGACTGCACGTTTGGTGCGGTGACTGGGCAACTAGGTGCCGCGCAACGTGTCGCGGGTTCGATTCACGAACAACAAAACACAACAACAACCAACTCTTTGTGTGATCTACAAATTGTATCTTATCTATAATCTTACAAATCGATGGGTCCTATGTACATATGGGCCAAACCAACAATTTTGACTTTTTTTATAGTAAACGTATCCTATATAGTTAATGATGTGAAATACTTAACTTGGGGCTACGATTATTTTACTAACTTAAAAATCTACAATTTTCTTAAACCTAATTTAACTTTGACTTCTTTCTTCAAAACCTTTCAGCATTCGAGCGAATCAAGAAGTGGAAACCTATCGCAACCAGATCAAGCTTCTAGAGAAGCAACGTGATGAAGTGCAGGCCAGGCTCAGTGAGGCCGAGGATGCTAGGAGCAGGAGTGAAGCCGCACTCACTAACTTACAAGTCGTGCTTGAGCAGTTCCAACTGGGTTAGTCAAATTTCATCTTTACTATGTCTAAATAAGGTGTATTTTTTTTGTTCGGTTTGATGTTACACTGTTTGTGTTGACCAAGTAAGCTAAAACCTGGGAAAGCGATGTTTGGTTCGGAGCCCAAATAGAGAAAAAAGGAAATTCGGAATCACGATTGTTTTTTTTTTTAATATTAACTCCTAGATGGAACTGTCCGCTTTTTTATGTGGTAGGACGCAAACGGGCAGACGGATTACCTGATGGTAAGCTATCAGCGCTGCCCTTGGACACCTGCAAGCTTGTGGAGTTTGGGGATTTAGGGATTGAGGGAGGGTACGGACACGGCACAACAACGCTCTGATTTCGCCGATTTTCAACTTCTTTATTACGAACAAATTTTTTTTCAGTTACATTATTTATTAGTAATGAATAATCGCTGTTTACATGACGGAACTATCAGAATGCCCATCATAAAAATGATTTATAAGTTATCAATTATAAATTGCGAAAAGCTGTGTTTATTGGCAAAAAGTAACCATGAAGTTTCTTGTTCGATTTCCTTTACAGGAAGCTACACTTTGGATTGAGCTAATTAGCTTCGCTAGAGGAATCCCCCACAGACTGACACATTTTTATTAGACTTCCAATAGAGGCTTATATTGGTTTTTTATTGAAATAAATAATTTAACTTTAACTTTATTTCTGTCTTTTTTCCCTAACCTTAAAACAATATTATCATTCACAAAAATGGGCCAGGGGTAATACCAGTTCCAGTACCAGCCATAGTCATATAATTTTCTACCATATTGTGATTTTCCTTGGGTGTACTTCCATAGTGCATTCAACGATAATTGCCGGCTGATGTCCCATTTCACTATTAAGTTGTTCAAGCCTTTAAGGGTTGATTTCGTGCCCCTCGTACGCCTTCCAAAGGTCTGGGACCCTGTGGTGAAACGAAAATTCATCAGTCTGTGTTTGTTTCGGCATTTCTTCTCAGAGTAGTCAGATAGGAAATGCCGGCTTCGTCTAGTTATCTACCATATAATTTTGACGTGTGAGAGTGCTCTTTTATGGCCCATTTACAAAAATAAATTCATTGTTTCATAAATAGTTATAATATTTCAGACAAAGAACGTGACATCCACACTGCAACGGAAAAGATAAGAAATAAAATGGAGGAACAGAAGCGAGAGAACCAGGGTCTTCAAATAGAGATATCCAGGTTGAACGCCAAGCTTGAAGAAGCTTTAGCTGGCCTGCAGGCCGCCTCAAGACTTGGAGACCAGGTCGAAATTAAGCGAGCTGAGATCAACGACCTTAAAGAGCAAGGTATGTGGTTTTCTGATGGGTCTATTAAAATCGTTGTCAGATTGTAGGGAGTTATTATTTGGATTGTTTTAATTGATATTTGATATTAGAGGTTGTTTTTATTGGCAGTCAGTAGTGAGTTCAATTTTGTGAATGTTGCCTACGGCATAAGAAGCAGTAATGTTTAGTTATTATATTAACTTTTTTGTTGGGGTTCTGAGTTTAAAATTTTTAAATATTTATATAAATTGGTTATAATAAAAACTTTATTACTTTTGTTGAAAATGAGAGGTTGAGACCCAAAATTATTTCTTAAATTAATCTTGTTGAGAATGAGAAACTGTAACGCAATTTTTTTCTCTTAAAATCTTGATTAAGCTGATGTACTGAAGGAACAAACCAATAAGTTGGAAGTCTCGACAATGAAAACGACAGAATTCTGTCGCTATTTGAGAAAGTTGGTTTATTAAATATAAACTTTATTCTAAAAGCTTATAAGTCTGATAATCCAAATCCTGAAATCATTCAACTGAATTTGCTTTTGTTTTTAAATGAGTATTGACCGTATAAACTGCCATAAGATTGTACTAGATAAAAACAGCCAGTATTTATAAGTCAAAGTTTTCCTTCTAAATATACGCATTATCATTTTCATAAAAGATGAAATTAATTAAGGCAACGACAAATAATATTTCCACAATCTGACACATATATTTAATCCTTTCTAGATTTGCTTTTGATTAGATTTGTTTGCGAATAATCTTTTGAAGTTTTTTTAATTTTAAAAATTTATTGTGTAGTGATAGTGATCTTGTTAATTGTTTTATCTCTTAATTCGAATGCATTGCTAATAAATAGCGTAGTGAAAATTTTCTGTAATATAGATTAGATCTGTTTGTAAAAAAATCTGCACCGATTTGTGATGATAATTATGATCATAATGAGGATATTTTTCTTCGTGATAAAAGTGTTTCTATCTATACTAATATTATAAAGAGGTAAAATTTGTAAGTTTTAAGTGTATGTAGGGGGTAATCTTTGGAACCGCTAGACGTATTGCCAAAATTCTTTCACTAATAGATAGGTACAATGTTCCCGAGTCGTATAGGCTAAACCTAAAACATAACGCTACGGTTAAATGGAGCCGAGCAGCGGGTGAAACCGCGCAAGAGTAGCTAATAAATAATAAATTGTGATATATATTTCGTTTGATGAATTTTTGTTGGTATCGTGGACTTTTTAAAGATAATTATGTTACTTAACTTGAGTTATTATTTAAATTTGTTTGTCGTCTAAGAGTATTAAGCAAGAATCAGAATCTGTTCATGAATAAGAATCCCATTGTGACTTGAATCTAGTCTCTAGAGGTTTTCTCGGTAAATTCACTCGAGTAAGTCTAAGAATGATTTCTTTCTTTCTTTCGATGGCACATCACAAATCGGTACAAATTACTTTTAAGAATTAGTAAACATTAGTTAAATAGAGCACTAGTTGAGCAGTGAAACGGCGTCCCGGCTAAATATCAGCTGGTAATTCTGGGGTGATGTCGCCCAGACTACCAGTTGGTATGAGGTCGGGAGCCGGAGACCACGTATCCACCATGACACATGTAAGTTTTTTTATACAAATATCAGTCTCTGTGTCAGCTTTGACGTGTGTCTTGAAGTCAATGTGTTTTTGTCCTTTTTTGAGCTGTTTTTTTTGTTGGTAGCCCTGTCTACAGGGTTTTTAAATCTATATTTTAGTTATAGAGTTGGGAATCTATTAAAGAATCTTGTCAGTTTTAAGTTAGTATTATATATACACAGTTTATGATCAGTCAGTCAGTTGTAGACAAGGCACTGAGTTTGAATAGTTTTACATGTAAATGCTACATCGATTAAAAGTAAAATACTTCAATAAATTATTAAGATATAAGTTATAATACTGTGTACCTCACAGTTTTTTAAATAATACAAGCAGCTTAGCATACAAGAATCAAGACCAGCGCTTCTGCCTGCCTCGGTTTAATCTCATTTGGTAACTGTGAGGTTTCGGACGGTGCGGCCGCCGTCGCCTGTCACCGTGACAGGTGTCACCTTGACAGCTGTCACTCTGACAGGCCGCGCGGCGAGCCCGCAGCACTCAGATTACCATATGGGGTTTGACTAAGGGTAATGGCTTCACATCGTGTCGTCTATGTGTTTTCACCGCGTTTTTATTTTGCGCTTGTTTGTTTTTTTTTGAGATTTTTTTGTGTATGTTCTGTTTTTTTTTTGAGTTGGGGTTTTCACTTTTTTTTTTGAAATCTGCCAATGTTTAAATTCTTTGGTATAGTAAAATGGCACTTTAATTGTAAAGTTAATAAAGACTTATTTAGAATGCCATTGAAATCTAGCAATGTGTGAATTCATTGGTAGAAGAAAATGAACTTTGATTATGAAATTATAAAGTGTAGTTTTGAATGCCATCAAAATGTGAGACTCCCAACTTTAACTGCATAAGTTTTCATATCGCACATGCAAGTTAATGTCTTGCAGCACTTTGTTGTTGTATGAATGTAGTGTGATGTTTTTGTTTATGTTCAAACTTGCTTTGGATACTTCGAGTATATAAGGATATACTGCAGTTTTCAACTAGTCAAATTCAATACTTTCATTGAAATGTTAAAAACGAAACATTTTTATAAATATTACAAAGAAAACGCAATCTACGATATTTCTGAAAATTTTGCCAAACAAACTATAATGAAGTATACCGTCAATCAATGAATGAAAGTGTAATTCTTTATATGATGAGGAAATGTAGACTCTTTTAATTTTAACATAAAGTATAAAATTGGAAGTCATCAATCTTCTTTTAAGTGTACATCACATATAGGTGACATTTTTGAGAACTCATTATTATATAACGTATAATTGTATGAAGACTGCATTTCTTCCAAATTTAATTACTTTTTTTCGATAATTATCTCAATCAGAGAACTTTTTAAAACGGCTAGTTTATTATTATTATTAAGGAATTATATCCAAAGCAAGTTCCATGTTGTTGTTTTTTTCGTTTTTTATTTTCCGAATGCTCAGTTTTATCGTAGAAGACTAGAAGAAGCCAGTAATGCCACATTGCCTCTGAGTATTACTTCAGGTACTGGTGAAACTGATAAATGGGATGTTGGAAGACATTCACACTTTATTTCAAATAAAAATATGATAGTGGATACAATCGACCGGCTCTACCTTCAACAGGGTTTTGTAGCCCGTTGAAGGTTACAAAACCCTGGGTTGAGAAAATGTAATTTGTCAATCCTTGGTGTTCTAAAGTATATATCTATTTTACCATGTATAAAAAAATAGCAATATACAAGAAACATTGGATAACAAATGTCATTTATTTTGATGTGTGAAAAGATCACACCCTGTATTCAAAGGTTTGGGGGACCAGTGCAAAAGCGGGGGTTTTTAGTCAGTAAGAGTCTGACACTCTCTTTCTCCTTACCCTGGGCAGGAGAAGAATCCCATAAAGGAAGCGTTACTTCATTTTGAGAGTAGAATAATCTATGTTTGGTAGATTTATATATGAGTAGGGTGAAATAACATATTATTTGATATTATAAAAGTGACTGAGTGTTTTCTAAAGCCCTACCCAGTGGCTGAATAATACTTTGAGGTCGTGTGCGCGTGCGCATCGAAGCTACGTATGAAGATTTTTTTCGTGCATGGTAAGAGTAGTATAGTTTATGGTTTGATTTTCTACTTTATATTGTTATTTTTATGTTTAAATTATAATTTTGTTTGCAGTAGTTATGCTCGTTTTTGTAATTTTAGTTGAATTTGTTTAATATTATTTATTATAATGAAAAGTTTTCTTTGTTATAGCCATAGCACCTATATATTCTTAATCAAATTCAAATTCTTTATACAAAGTAAAGAATTACAATTAAGATATCCTGTGTTTAAGATCGACTTTTGCCATTTGTGTTTCTGGCAGTTAATAAAGAATAATTGAACACAAAATAATCTATAGCTTATCTAAAAAATGTTGGCAATACAATAATTACAATTGAAACCTCAATTACCTCTCAGTCCGGACCCTCCAGACCTCAGTGGCCGCAGCAGAGGAGCGCTACTACAACGCCATCTCCAACCAACAGGATAAGGTCGACAAGAACCTCGTCAAGAACCTAGTCATCAACTACGTGATGACTGCTGCAGGGAATAATAGTAATAAGTAAGTAATTTATTAATATATTTCAGAATCATTTTCGTGGGTAGCTTGGAGGAAAATGGTCGTCGCTTTTTGAAACCTGGCAGGCTCCTGTGTGACTCATTGCGAGTTTTTTTATGTACCTTTTTCTAAGTTTATTTAGACATCAATGATATAGGGAAACGTTAAAAGAAAACCAGGACTTATTATTTCTGATTATAAGTCTAAAATCGCTTCACAAACCGCGGTGATTCATTCTTCGCTCTTTTGCTCAGCAGTAAGTGCTGATAAGTAGAGATGATTATGTAAGAATATAGTTATTACTGGCCAATATGATGGAAATAAACATTTTCAACCTAATTGTTTTGCAATAAAGCATATTTTCAACCTTGTTTTGCAAATAGTTATATGTTGACTTGATAGTTTGTGGATTTTTTTTTAATGTGGTAGGTAACTTTTTTTAATACGAGAAAACGGATAACCTGATGGTAAGCAATCAGCGTCGCCCATAGACACCCGCAACGACGGAGGAGTCACGAGTGCGTTGTCGACCTTTTTGGGGATTAGGGATTTGGAGATTTTGGGAAAGAGGATTGGGGTAGAGGAAGGATTGGGTCTGCAGTAACCTCAGTTACACGGCGAAACACAGCTCTTTGGTTATTTCACGCTGGTTTCCTATGAGGCCGTGGTATCACTCCGGTCGAGCCGACCCATTGGTGCCGAAGCATGGCTCTCCCACACTTACACTTAATTTCTATACTAAACTAGGAATGAAAGTGGTTTAGTATTAAAGCTTTGTCACTTATAAAATAATGTATTCTTGTCCACAGAACGCAAGTCCTGCGAATTCTATCAACAGTATTGGACTTCAATCAGCAAGAGTGTGAGAGGCTCGGACTCGCGCGCTCTGCCCAGGCGCCGGATAGTTTGGCCGCCGAGTTCGTCAAGTTCCTACAGAACGAGTCCCGCCCGAGGGCGCCACTGCCGAACATGATGACGTTAGCGCAGGGCAACACTAGTCGGAGTACCACGCCTAGTTCAAGGAAAAATTCTACGATAGGTCAGTGAGAATTGTTTCTGCATATTTTTCATGTTATAGGTCGACATAAGACCCGAGGCAGATGGATTACCTGGTGGTAAGCAAACAGCGCCGCCCACACACACAAGTGCGTCGTAGACCTTTCGTTATTATGATTTTGGAGTCAAAAAAGGACAAACGTCAAAATCATATCTTTAAATTAGACCACAGTGGGCACTTTTGAACGTCAAGCAAAAAAAGGACAAAAAGAAAATATTTATTTCAAGAGGTTTAACTTTATGCGTGTCAGTCTGTCCGTCTGTCCTCTAGTAAAGCTATTTGCTCGTTCCAATGTGTAGATTCCTATGGAGAAGAACGAGCAAGAAACTCCATGGTTACTCCATCAATCAGTTTTACAATTCATTTCTTTGTTACATTTTTAGATATGTGAGAACAGTGTGACACTAATATATAGACAAAGAATTAAAAAAAAAGTTAACCTCAAGAACAACAACATATTTGGAGTTTGGCATTTTTGGAGATTTAGGAATTAGGGAGGACTGGGATGACTTAAAATTTCAAGTTCCATATTAAATATGCATTAATTTATTCTTAAACATAATATTACTTTATAACTGACTTTAAATATAAAAGCTTAATTATTATTATTCTTTCCAGGGCCACCACCGAACCTGCCAAAAACCGGCCACAGTCGTAACCCCTCGACTGGTTCCAACAACCTCTTGTTCCACAACCTGGACACAATGGATACAGCATCACAGTTTTCCAGGGATTCCGATAGAGAGCCTAGAGTTATAACCCAAAGCCTAGACACAGGTGTAAACCAAACTAGAAACACTGAGGGAGCCATTTTGAAATCAGTCCTTAAAGACATGTGATTTTAACCTTTTTTTAGAAGCTATTAATGTACAGTTTTGAATGAGAGCCATCCTTATGCGGAAAAGAGATAGCAATGTATACCAAGCTATGTTTTTGTCAAAGGAATGATATAACGAAAACATCTTTCCTATAACTAAGGTTAGTGTTGTAGGTTGGCAACATTTTGAGTTTATTTTTGATTGCAACACTGCCTTGTATCTGTCAAACGAGTATTCCCATTTTGAACATCGAACAGGTTCCATGATCGTCATAGCTAACGCCTTTTTTGGCAGTAATGAAATAGGTCATAATTTAGTCAACGTGCATGTATAAGAAAGTGTCTGATTGCCATTGATATAAGGTCCAAAATTGCTTACCTGAACACAAGTTTGCAACACAAAGCAATTAAACGTATGATATTGAATTCTATATAACATACTCATTCGTATATTATTTGTTCCGTCTAAATTTAAAAATTATGTCATATTATTATTTTTTTATCGGCACGGATTTTTGATTTGGTTGGCAAAATTCACACTTATTACCTCTCACATAAAGAACTAAATCGATGATCTGAAAGATCCGTTGCCTAAAAATGAATTTCTTAAATAAATTAGCGTTTTTTTTACAAATAGTGAAAAGTTTTTTACAATTTTGATATCAGTTAGCAAAATCTGTATGTATATATCTACAAGTATATACTAGTTATAATGAGTAAATTATGGGAGAAAACAGTCCAAATATTAGTGAAATTATTTTTGAAACATAAAACTCAATTTTAAATATTATCTAGACTAGAAGAATATATCTGCTTCCTTTCTCTCATATTTAAATTAACATCATCAGCCTATGAGTGCCCAATACTGAGCAAAGGCCTCTTCTCACACGGAGAAGGTTTGAGCATTCATCACCACACTTGCTTAAGGCGAATTGTCCAAGTTTCCACGGAACATAGTAATTCAAATAGCACCAAAATTCCTGTTATTGTTAATCCTAGCCTATTAACAAAATAACTCATACCTAGTAGGTTCATACTAATCCTTCCTATACTAATAAAATCCTACACATCCATTTTTTGTTTTACTTTCTGTGAAGTGGAATCTTGTAACTAAATTTTGAAGAGAATATCTTCAACTAGTTGAGCTGAAAATTTTCATACGCGTTTAGTTTTCTAAACTGTATGACGGCACTCTCAATCCATAAAATTGTATCTAGCCACTGACTTACAGTCTTAGTCTTGTATTTTTGTATCCCTACCCTTTAAATCTGCGAAAGTCTAATCTTCAAAAGGACGGCAACGTACTTGTGATTCCTCCGTTGTTGCGGGTGTCCATGAATGTCGATTGCTTACCATCAGGTAATCCGTCGGCTCATTTGCCGTCCGACCACATAAATCGCTTCACATAGGTTTTGCTGTACTCAAACTATAGTACAGAAATATGTGAAGTATTGTGTGTATAATAAAATTGTCTTATATTTTTACTATATCCAATCGACTTAAAAGATTTTTTATTTTAGAAAATTGTCCCACAATATTACTAATAGTTTAATTTAAAATATTTTGACTGTTTTCTATCATATCTTAAAGAAGTCATACGCATTATAATTTCGCATTTATTTTATTTGTGTGTATAAATGTCCTATTTTGTCCTGGTTTTCGTAAAATTTCGATAGTTTTAGTGTCATTTGTATAGTTTATGGTGCCTTATTGTTATAAGTTGGTGTGAAGGACAGCAGAATTGTCGCTCAGTATCAGTTTTATTTAATTCCATTCTGACAGTAATGTGTAATTTCTTTTGACGGTATTTGCTTGTTTCGAAACAGTCCTATAGAGAAGATCGAGCAAGAAATTCCGTCCTTATTCGTGTCGGAAAAAACCAAATGTGTTTTTTTTTCTACGTTATAAAAATGAAAATTTGAGTCTATAGTACAATTAATAATATTTTAAACCACCTTAAAAGACCTAAAAAGCCAAAAAATAACTCAACGCTAACAAAAATTGCCATATTGAAAATCTTTAGCCGAATGATTGTGACTTTAAATAAGCGACATCTGTTTTTAAAGTTTTGAGACTAGCCAGTATTTTTTTAGTTCGTTTTTTTGTTTTGGCTTCTCGTCCTTTGTCTCGCCAGGTAAAAGCTTAATGATTAAGTTGTATAGAATTGTAAATTGTGTAATTAATAAATTAATACTTATTACATTTATTTGTATTCAGTTCAATTTATATTGTGATCTAATATAATATAATAATTAAAATAAAATTATTGTTTATTCTTGTCTTCGATTAATACAGTTGATTACAAAAGTGTTTTAAAAATAAATTTATATTTTTTTATCAAATAATTATTTCAGTTTTATGCGTGTTATTTTAAAAGTGAATTTTTGAGCAATAAATTTGTAACAAGCAATAATGTGCTGCCAATACTTTTGTACCCAACTGTAAATTTAGTGTTACGGATTGTAAATTTAATTTTGTCAATATAAATAAATTGATTATAATAATTATTATGTTAGAACATTGTCCAATGCAATGGACGTTTGCCTACACGTTGTATTCCATACATAACGAGGAAATAAATGAATGATTGATATATAATGCTGCTTTTTTATTTTTTAACCTTTAGTTGGCTGCATGATGTCGTCGCTGCTTATGAGTAAGGGTCCCGTTGTGGCTTAAACCTAGTAGAGTTTTTCTCAGTTGATTCCCGTTAGTTTATATGAAACTATGTGGTACACAATAAAAGGACATACGGTGAAAACGGGGTGAATAGAATTCGAGGGTTGAATAGATTGCACGAAAGTGGTAAATAATTAGCTGAATTTCTTTTCACCCCGTTTTACGGTACTTAATAAATAAGTCGTTATCAGTACATAGTATTAAACATAGTAGCATTCTCTTACCCTATAGACGCTTTCTTAGTTGGTTGGTTTCGTTTCGAGGTTGGTTCGTGTGATTCTCGTTTATTTTCGAATCTAAGAATCTCAGAGCCTGATTTTAATGCCCAACATTTGGCACAGTTCCGCCAAGTTAACGATATACTTTTGCTGGACTTCATTGTTTCGCTGTTTCCATCCTGGTTTTATCCACTGTAGATCCTGGCTTAATGAAAATACAGAGGGCTGGAGACAAAGCAGCGGGCTCAATCAAATAATGCGGAAACCATTATATTTTTAATTATGCCATAGTTCGAACGAACACGAACGAACGAACGAATTTTGCCTGATGATAAGTAATCGGCACCGCCGATGGGTTCTTGCAATACCAAATGAATTACTAGAAGTGTGTTGCTGGCCTCCTGTGCGTCATTAGGGATTTATGGATATATCTACTAATTTGTAGATTGAGGATGGCCGGATGAACGGAGACCCAATCCTTCCCGATATATCCCCAAATTTGGAGATTGAGGATGGGGGAGGGGTTTGGGCCTTCGGTAACCTCACTCACACGGCGAAATACAACGTAGTGTTGCTTTACGTTAATATTCTGTAAGATTGTGGTATTACTCGAGCTGGTCCATTCGTGCCGAAGCACGGCCTTCTACACCTAACAACTTAATTGATGAAAAATGAACCAACAACACCAATCTTAACTTTATTTTTTTTACATAATTTATTCATACAGCTTTAACATTAGGTGGTATTTTACAACTACTAAACTCGCCAAACTAAATAGTTTGATGGCGAGATGCGCTCTCTTAATTTATAAGTAATTGTGACGTTATGTAAGTATAAACTCTTAATAAATAATAACGAAGTTTCCTTTTTCATTGTTTTACAATCTAAACTAAAACAAACTAGTTATTTTCATAGCTCGGTTCTGTTAATTGTAGCAATGATAGACGTTACCCCGTCGACTGCAGCGAGGGTGCGGTCGCGGCTGAGGATCCAACCTACCTCCGCTACTTGTAAACTTGTTCTCTTGTATGACGATACGAACACGACACGATTTTGCCTATTTACTAACTTATGTAGGTACTTTCTTCTTCGAGAACCTAGGATAAAAAGTAGCTTTTAAGAGTTATTTCAGAATATGACATCTTTGCGACAAATTTCATTCTGATCTGGCAAGTAGTTTTGTGTGAAAGATAAACAGACATACATACATAGTGTGTAATTGGATAGGTCTATAGGTATATACTTTTTTGAATTATCATATTCGACATATACATATAAAAATATAATAAAGTAAAACAACTGGCTCGACTGGTAGAAAATGCCTTAGGCATTAAGTCCGCCTCCGCCTATGTACCCATTGTGCGTGAAGTTTAAATAAATAAATAAATTACAGAGATTTGCTTATATATTTTATATATTTCAAAAAACAAAAAACTAAATATACCAATCAATCAAGGACCTCATAAGATGGAGTTAAAATTTTGGGTACTTTGCCGTTCCAGGCCTGAGCTATAGGAATATGGCGTTACTAGGAAGAGTATTTTATATTATAATTAGGACTTTTTCTTTTGTCAGGGGTAAATCATGAAATTACTTCTCCCACCCAGGGTAAGGCGAGAGAGAGAGTGTCAGACTTTTACTGACTAAAAACCCCCCTTCCGTCTCCTGCTTTAGGCCGACGTTGCGGTACCACATTACGCCTACCCCGCAACCCTGGCTGAACATCAGCCCCTTAGGGCCCTACTTGTGGTGGTCTATTGGCTCTTTGAGGCGCGTGCGGAACGCTACGCGCAGCTTCCCCTTACTTACCATCCACAGACCCGCGCTTACGCTAATATTACTAGGAGTTAAATATCTTATTATAACGAACACTTAATTGACAACGACTCTTCTCGTCTCCTGACCTCATGCAGGCCACAAATATACAACTATAATACTATAACATCGTATCGTATTCTGTAAAAGGTTGAGTTCAGGTATAGCTGAAACATTAAAGTAATGGGTATTCCATATTTCAGAGGCGCGCCCCATCTTGCGGGCATTAATAACGTCTGATCTAGATAATGTAGGGAACCTATGTTTATAGATTACTTTATAGATAATGGAAAATTAATTAATTTATAATTGACCTTATTTTTTAACAAAATTAACTCTCTGTGTATTTTACAGGTATATAGGTAATAAGCAAATAAAGAATTCTATTCTATTTTAAGCCTATGTATGTTTATATGGAATAGAGGGCACACGGATCCCCTGATGATGACCAGCGCCGCTATTTACACTTGTAATATCATAGGTGCTGTAATTAAGTATGGGCTTCGGCACGAATGGGCCGTCTTACCACCTACCACAGCCTCATAGAAAAACCACAGCGCTGTATTTCGTCGTGTGAGTGAGGTTACCGAAGGCTCAAGTTTTCTCCTTATCCTCAATTCCTAATTTCCTTAATACGTAAAATCCCTCATAGCCATAAGGCCGACAAAGCACTTGCAACTACTTTGTTGTGAGGGAGTAACTAGGCGTTTGTCCGTTCCTATAAAATAAAGATACATAGGTGAGTGCGTTGCAGGATTTTTAAACACGAATAACCCCTTTTCTTGCCGGACTAAATGTGGGAGAGCCATGCTTCGACACGAATGGGTAGGCTTGACCGGAATGATACCACGGCCTCACAGAAAACCGGCGTGAAACAACCACAGCGTTGTGTTTCACCGTTTGAGTGAGGTTACCGGAGAGGCCCAATTCTTCGGAGTCTGAAAAGTATT